TATATATATATATATATGAAATCATTGTAGAATAAGATGATTTACAAAGGACTGGTTATGATGAGTTTGAAAAGAATTTTTCTTACAAGCTATATGTCTACATGCTAGCAAGAGACTACTTTAGCCATTTATATTATATTTCATTCTAAATTTTAAGTGTCCTTATTACTTTTTAAACCCAGGGGAACACCTTTAGAAAAACAGGATTTAAAAAACAAAAATCAACAAAAAGGTGAATTAAAATGAAAAGAAATAAAGTTAACAAATTTTGTAGTTTATAACTTCAATTAGATAATACACAAAGAGATTAACAGTCAGAAACCTACATACAAAGTATGTAGATGAACCCAAGTTTAATCGGTGGAGACGTTCCCCATGGTCCTTCTGACTAACATGCTCAGTCCTCTTCCAGTAGAGGGCGCAAACTCTCAGAACTCAACTCATTCACAAGAAGAAAGGGAGATGAGTTGTAATGCCTTTTAAGTATACCTTTAGCACATCTACTGAGACATTTTTAAAATGTGTGTTGAATACTATTCGAAACAGAATTAAAATAAACCCAATGGACAAAACACTGATTTTATCTTTTTCAAATAATGAAAAAATGGTCCCAAAATATTTAATTTCCATGGTATATTTCATTACTGATTCTCACTGGTCACCAAGGTATTAAAGCATTTTATAAGCAATTTGATAAGATACCAAAAAAATACAAAATATTACATGACATATATTTTTATTTTAATAGTAATACGCTCACCTGACACAAAAAATATAAACTACTAAAATAAAATAACTGTACTACGTTGACAACCTATTTCCTTCTGGCATATTTTCATTTGCATATTCTAATTTGTTATGAAAAAAAGTGTTCAGTACTTGACTATAAGCTAGGCATAATCTTAAGCACTTTTAATGTTATACCTACTAACCATTTCCAAAGCCCTATTAGATAGATCTATTATTTCATATTTGCAATGAGGAAAAAGAGACAGAAATTACATAATTAGCTCAAAGTCACACAGCTAATAAGTATGAGGGGCCAAGATTGTTTGTTTATTTATTTACTTATTTTGGTGGTACTGGAGTTTGAACCCAGGGCTTCAAAACTGCTACTAGGCAGGCACTCTGTCACTTGAGTCATTCCACCAGCCCAGAAGCCAAGATTTTAAACCACATGGTTTGGTACTGTTTTTATTTATTTATTTATTTTATTGACAATACAGGGGTTTGAACTCAGGGTCTCACACTTGACTCTGTGTGTGTGTGTGTGTGTGTGTTTGTGTGTGTGTGTTATTTTTGAGATAGAGTCTTGCTTTTTGCTCAGGCTGACCTGAGAGATCCTCCTGAGTAGCGAGAAATACAGATGAGAGCCACTGGGTACTGGGTGGGGAGTGTGCTTCAAATGGTAGCACACTTGCCTAAAGTACAAGGCCCTGAATTTGAACTCTAGTAGAGTAAAAAAAAAAAAAAACACACACACATACACACTTGCTTTTTCCTGACTTCATTAACATTCACGTCTTCAATGTTTATAATAGTTCATAAATATAGATATGTTAATAAGCTATGTTCTTTCTAGTTGTCTCTCACAAACATAGTAAGGGAAATATCTTTGGACATATTAATTTGGCTATGTTTGGGTTACTGTAATGTATCACCAAACTGCTTTTCAAAAATATATGTATTAAGTACTAACATTTAAAAAATTTGTTCCTAATAGGTAATTAAACAATGTTTCAAATTAAATTTTTACTATTAAAACTGCAGATTATCCAGGTTTTATTTATCTTTATTTTCTCTTCTGTGAATTTCATCCTATTTGCTTTATCCAGTTATCAACTGAGATGCTGTCTGTCAATTTATATGAACTTTTTATAGGAATATTAATACTATGTTCATCATATTTACAGTAAAAATTTTCCATTCTGCTATTTTTCATTTGTTATTAAGGCTTTGTTTCTTTTTTTTTTTTTGGTCCTTTTGGGCCAATGGTTTGAATTCAGGGCTTTACATTTGCAAAGCAGCTACTCTACCACTTGGATACATCAGTCCATTTTGCTCTGGTTATTTTAGAGATGAGGTCTCACAACAAACTATTTGCCTGAGTTGGTCTTGGACCTCAAACCTCCCAATCTTAGCTTCTCAAGTAGCTAGGATTACGTAGGTGTGAGCCACCATTCAGCTAAGGCTTTGTTTTTGATAAAATAACCTTCTATTAAAAATAAACACAAAAGTAACAAAAGATGTCTTAAATACCAGTACCACCAAAAAAAAAACAAGTCTATTGCTTTGAGCACATCAATGAATCTCTTGCAGTAAGATTTTCATTTGTATGTTTGTTCATTCATTCACTCATTCATTCATTCATTTAGAGTGCTGGGAATCAAATCTAGGTCCTTACACATGCTAGGCAAGCATCTATCCCTGAGCTATATAAACCATGTTCCTTAAGACTTTTTTTTGTGTTTTTGGTGGGACTGGGGTTTTGAACTTGGGGCTTCAAACTTACAAAGCAGTCACTCTATCACTTGAGTCACACCTTCAGTTATTTTGGAGATGGGGGGTCTCTTGAACTATTTGCTCAGGCTGGCCTTGAGCCTTGATCTTCTTGATCAAAGCTTCCAAAGTAGCTAGGATTACAGGCGTGAGCCACCAGTGCCCAGCTTCCTCAAGACTTTTCAAAGCAAGATAAACCCGTCAAAATACACTACTCAATAGAGTTCTGAGTTGATAAAATCTTGATTAGGTCTCATATAGAATTAACTCAATGAGCAAAAAAAAGCCCAATCTACCCCAAGTTGCTTAAATAAAAAGAGTTACATACCTGTCGCTGTAAATACAGGCGATTTCTGTCATGTAAATGCTGATGACTAGAAAATGATGAATGCCAACTCCGAGCCTGATATTCCAACTGAGTTTGAGGAATATCAGAAGGTCGTGCTACAAGATGTGAAGTAAAGTGTCGATCAAGGTCATGATCCAAAACATGATTTGAATTATCTTGTCCAAATGTTGACTCATCAAATTGGGGAAGGAGACCCTCCTGAAGCAGCTCATCTGGGTCAAGTCCTGTGAATGGCTCAGTATGAGATTCTACTTGATGAAGTAAATTCTCTTCTAAAGTTGAAAAACCATTAGTTTCTACATGATCATTGAAATGGCCCATTTGAGTTCCTGAGTCAACAGGATCTTGGAAGTTCATGTGCACAGGAGATAATTTTGAATTGCTGTAATTACCCTGAGGATGTGACGAATGCAACATTTGGAAATTATTTGAATTCAATGATGCACTGGGGTTTAGGATATGTGGAGTGGATTCTTGCTTGACTCCCCGATGAGGTGAAAAGGAATTACTTCCAGTAAAATCAGATAAAGTTTGATTTGTATGATTAGGTACAGGAACTGCAGAAGACTGAAGGAGACTGTTGGGTGATACATGATTACTAGAAAAGGAATAATGTGAAGAAAAGTGCTGTGAATTACTAACAGAACAAGGAGTCATATTTGGAGACAGTCCATTAAAATTTCCTTCTTGATGATTGTTACACTTGAGGAAGTGTACTGAAGGGTTTGACGTCTGAGAAAATTGCATCGGAAGAGACTGTTGTGAAGTAGATGCATTAGTAATTTGTGATGGGTGGTTAACATTCACTCTGTGTGGACCAGAAACACTAACATCTATAAAATTTTTAGACCGGCCAAGAGAGTTTTGCCCTGGGTTAAGATTATTTCTATTTTGTTGTGAACGTAATGAAGTACACTGTGTTTGTTGTTCATTGGCCTGAAATAAGGCGAAGTCATGGTGTGCCACAAAGTTTTTACTTTGATGCATAGGATGTGAATGTCCTTGTTGGTGAAAAGGAGATCCATTTTGATTAGAAATACTAGTAGCTGTCTGATGGCCCCACATTGGACTGCCATCTGCTACATCTGGAAACAAACCATTAGGTTGGTTTGGGGGGTGGATAGGAGAACAATTAAACTGAGAGTGTGGAGATAACACATGTTCAGCTGGACTTCCAAAAGATTGATTAACTTGGTGAAATTTCATTGAATCAAACTGATTTAACTGTTCAAAATCAGTCATCTTCTGATGTGTTGGAGTACCTTGAACATGGTTCAGCGAGTCTATGTGCAAAGGTTCAAACTCTGCACCCAAGTTCAATTCATCAACTAATGACACAGGTACTGGGTGTATAAATGCATCATCTGACAAACCTTCTAAGGTCTCACCGAAAAGATTGGCATCATCAAAAAAGTCCATGATCGGATCTGTCATCTTGAAAGTTCAGTAACAATCTGGGCTGTTAACTCCAAAGGGAGTATATTTAGCTTCTCTATAGTAGATATTATTGGATCATTTTTGAAGATCATCAACTAATCCAAAACAGGCCAATGTTCATTATTGCTCCAGAAAATGGCATGTCATGATGTGTCAGAATCCTAGGAAAATAAAACAAAGCAATTTAAATTTAATGATGAGTATTCATTAAACTTACATAAACAAAGTTTATATATAGTATTTTTATAAAATAATTCATTGTAAATAGCATTAATATTCCCTACAAGGAAAAAAAGCCCCCTGTTCAGATATGAATATATACATTTAAAAGTAATAGTACAAATTACTTCACTTTGAAGTGCATATATTATGACAAAAGAATATAAAGTAAGTCTAGCATGTCACCTTCTCCCATACCATTAAATGGTTATCACTCCCCAGCACTTCTGCCAAATGTATAAGATATATATGTACTATACTTCAAAATTATGTTTTGTTAAGATAGCTGGTACTAGACCTTCTCAGGTTAATAAATTCATTACAATCTTTTTCTAGATTACTTCACAGGGTATATGTGGAAATGCATTAAGAGCAATTGCACGAGGTCATAAGTTGACCCACAATGAGATAAAAGTTAGCCATTTGGTTAGCTGAAGGACAGCACAAACACGTGCTGGGGGAGATGTTGGGAGATATCCTTACATATTTCTACCATAGTCCTTTTGCTTATCTACGATGGAAGTCCAGCCTTCCTAACAGCCAAAGGATTTAGACACCTGTGAAACAAGAGAAACTATCTTCCTGTAAATCACTTGTATTCATTAGTTCATCCCTAATGTAACTCTCTTAAATCATTTATTGTTATATTTATGAAACAGTGTAAATTTTGAGACTCAAGCAGAGAAGAAAATAAACAAGTATCTTGCACTAAACAATAAATTAGTCATAAATAGTCTCAAAAGAAAAATGATAAGCCAGGCCCCAGTGGCTCATTCCTGCAATTCTAGCAACTAAGGAGGCAGAGATCAGAAGGATCAAAGTTTAAAGCCAGCCTGAGGTTGGCTTCATGAGACCGATCTCCAAAAAACCCATCACAAAAAACGGTTGGTGGAATAGCTCAAGGTATAGGCCCAAAAGAAAGAAGAAAAATGATAGCCCAGTGTGGTGATACACACTTGTAATCCCAGCACTTGAGAGGCTGAGGCAGGAGGATTGCAAGTTTGAGAATGGCCTGGGCTACATATGGAGATCCTGTCTGAAAAAAAAAAAATTATACTTATGCATATGATGGTCCCTTGGTATCTGTGGGGAACTGGTTCCAGAACACCCTCCCCTCAGATACCAAAATCCATAGATGTTCAAGTCCTTATATAAAATGTCCTACTATTTCCACATACTCCTACACTAGTTACCCTAGGTAACATACAATACCTAATACAAGGTAAATGCTATGTAAACAGTCATTATACTACACTATTTAGGGAATAATGACAAGAAAA